CTTTTTGCCCGAAGTGATCCCGGTCTCTACCCAGCCTGAGGCGAGTCACGAGTGAGGCAGGACAGGAAGCCGGATTCACGAGTCACAGGAAGTCGGAAGTGATGTCATGCTGGACAAGAATCAGAGTCCGAATAATATTTTTTCATATTCGGACTCGAGTCCGAATAATCACTTCGGTATTTTAAACCAGAATAGAATCTAATTAGATCTATAATCTAGATCTACTATCTAATGAGACCTGTTTTCTTAACAAGTTTCGGTCAATAGAGCCTAACCTGAGTACGGCCAGACTGGCAAGCTAGCCGTACTTCTTTTCTATAGATTCTAATTTAAATTATTTTTTTTCTTTTCAGGTCAAGCTTTATACACCACATGGTAGTATAAAGTACCAGACAGACTGTGCTCCCAACACCGGCTACTACCTCATTCCTCTTTATGACAAAGGGGACTATATCCTGAAGACTGAGCCTCCTAAGGGATGGGGATTTGGTGAGTTTGTCTTTTGATAATACTTGCGCAGTTTTTCAGGAGCTAAGTGTTCGAATATAATGAAAGTGATACACTGAAGTTTGTGTTCAGTTTCATTTATTTTAAAAAAAATATAATTAAAATTCTTTTCAGCTGAGCAAGGCTGCGTGCATATTACATGTAATTTTACAATTTTGGGATGCTTTCTTTCTGCTGGCATTATAGTATTAGAAGAGAACGATCAACTCACTTACTTTTACTTCGTTATCAACTTGTTGACGCAGATAGTTGACTGCTTAGGTTTTTCAACTCATTGTGCAGTTTTTCATTTATTGTGGCTGTTCCATACAAGAGCATTGCACCAATCACCTTTTGTAGAGCAACTCGCCATTTTCAGGACGTACTGGATACTTTTGGTACCGACTAGATAGAGAGTTTCTTCAGTTTTTCAAAAGAATCAAAGTAGAATTTTGCTTTATTATATATATAAGTGCTTTTCTTAGACTTTCCTCTGACATGATGTTTTTGACAATGGGCACGAATTCTGAGATGTTGGTTGTTGTCTGAGACAAGGTACTTGATTGTGTGTACCCTGAATTAAGGTGTGTTCAAAACCCAATAGTTATCTAAATGTGTACACTACACCTGAACTGGGTGTCAAACCAGTGGCATGAGAGGCATATGCACCTTCACTCTCAATCAATTAATTCCCTAAACAATTTGTGTTTTCTCCGGCAGAGCCTCAGAGTGTGGAGCTGAAGGTGGATGGGGAGAACGACATGTGCAGCAAAGGCGAGGACATCAACTTCAAGTTTACGGGATTCTCCGTCTATGGCATGGTAGGGCACACATCGCGTGGACATTTTGCGGTTAATGAGCGTATCGATCTTATATTGTTTGGGCCCAAATTATAGTGATTTTTTTTTAGTCACAAATATTTACTCACCTGAATGATCGTCTGTTCATGATTTGAATACTGTGAATTGTCACTCTCCGTATAGTATAATGAAGCTTGATGAGTTCAGTGTTTTTGGTTTTAAAAAATTTAATTTAGGTACCGTAAACACGGCCTGTAAGCCGACTTGCGGTAATTCAAATGGCTGTTTATTTGCTCTGTTGCTCACTATAAAACACCAAATGCTGTACACCATGAAAAAGTTCAGCTTTCCTCCTCCTCCGTCTTTTCATTGGTGGAGTACTATAGGGCTTTGAACGGGGTTTCCGGTTGAATATGTTTGGCATGGGATTTAACTCGAAAGCCTTTACTTTAAAAGTAGTGTCCAAGTTTTCAAAGGTTATTTTTTTACCCACAAAAAATGTAAAATACCAGTGTAGAAGTGGCGCCAATAGTCATTGGCTTGGGATTGTTTTGCATCGATTGATCTGTTAAAACTCTGAAATTATCTAACCCCCAACACAACCGGCACTCAGTACAGTATAGAGGCGTATTGCTCGGCGTAGGGACGAAGCGATGCCGTCTGGGACAGTGCAGGATGTTTTTTGTAGAAATAATGACAAATCTGCGTGTTTGAGACAATAAAATAGTAATTTGCAAATTAAAATTTTTTTTTTAAAGATAAGGCTCCATATCTAGATTTCTATGCCTAGTATGGACATTATTCAAAAAAAAAAAAGAAGTCTCATTCGTAGTATGGACATTGTGTAATTAAGAAAAATCAAAGCAATAAATTCATTCAGTTATTGGTTATTTAGTTTTCGTGTTCCCTCTGCTGCTATTGCTGATCCAGTGCACCTTGTTTTGTTGGAATGTACCAGGTGGTCAGCTCTGGGCAGAACACGGGTCCAGCCGGCGTCCAGCTTCAGCTCACTTCTGCTGCTTCCTCCGATGTGTTAAGCACTGCCAAGACAGAAGACAGCGGAAGGTAATGGAATGAGTTACTCAGAAATACTGCATTTATTAGAACATGCTGCAAACTGTGTCTGTTTCTTTTGTCATTTCTTGGGGGGGGAAAGAAAATTTTACTTGAAAATCCAGTGAGTGAATTACAAGAAAGACTTTGATGGAGAAAGTCAAAGCAATCTGCCTTAATTGACCGAGTGAGCAGCTTTTCTTGGGCTAGTGGGAACACTGTACATCTTCAAGTGTAGATGTGAATATTGGGTGGGAGGATGGTTAATTCCGATATTTGTTGTTGTTTTGGGTTGTTTTTTTCAATTTTGTTTGTGTTAATTTCACAAAAATCTGTTTTTAGACCCAGGTTTAGTTCTCTATTCAAACCTATATAGTTGTGTCTTTGTTTGCAAAAATGTATTTTTAATTTGTGATGACTTTGAAGATGTAATTTCAAAGTGAATATGAGAGAAAGCTGGTTAGTTTACGTTCGTTATTGGTTGAAGGGTCAACGGGACGTGTCCCTGAGCATGGCTCCACAACAGGACTCTCCACTTTTGCAACTAGAAATGACATGTTAATTTGTAGGAGTTTGTCACTATTGTTCGTTATTAAATTACACATGTCGTCTTGTCACTGACATAGCTAATTCTGAACCAGTTTTGGTTAAGCTTAATGGATGCTGCATTCCTTGCACTAATATAATATATATAAATAATGAATTACGTTTCTGTTTTGTCGTTTCAGATTCTCGTTTTCAAATGTTATGCCGGGCGACTACAAAATCAAAGCATCCCATCCGTCATGGCAGTTCAGCAAGGTGAGACAGCTGTAACAGTCTCCCTGGCTTCTCTATGTTTATCAGCTTGCAGGGGCAGCAACATTGGCTCTCTTTGGTTACAACAACATTGGCTCTCTTTGGTTACAACAACATTGGCTCTCTTTGGTTACAACAACATTGGCTCTCTCTGGTTACAACAACATTGGCTCTCTCTGGTTACAACAACATTGGCTCTCTTTGGTTACAACAACATTGGCTCT